CGCCGCTGCTGCCACCTCCGTTGTCCCCTCCACTCCATCTTCTCCCTCTGCCCCACCTTCGTCCCTCCCCATGGCCGAAGGCACCTCAAGCATCAACATGGGCTCGCTTCGCATGGATTCCGTCGAGGATATCCACCGCGAACTTATCGACCAGCCAGGCACCCAGGAGAACACATGTCTCCTCTCCATGTTTCAAGCACTCTCTGCCTCCCTCGACAAAATCGAGGCCTCCATGACCTCCATATCCGATCGCGTCACCTCTCTCTAACCACACACCCGCCATCACCATCCTCACGACGTCGTCACTCCCCTCCGATGACGGCTTCGACTCCTCTCCCGAGTCCCTTGACCCAGCCCAATTCACCGAGGAAGACTTCCAGGCTGTCCATCTCATGAGGATGGAACGGCAACGCCTGGCCTCCCAACTTTCCTCCTCCCCCCAACCCCCTCGTCTCAAAAAGCTCACCCCTGCCGAACGCGCCTTCCTCCAGGCCAACGACGGTTGTTTCCGTTGCCGCCAGCTGGGGCATCAGCAAACCAATTGTCCCAAGGCCGGCCGCTCCACCCACCAGACGTCCCGCCTCACCGGATCCAGCCCTCCCACATCCACTTCCTCCTCCTCCACCGCGGCCTCTGGGCCCCCCTCCTCTTAAACACTGTCCCCCCGCCCCTTGTAGCCATATCCTGGCATCAACAATTCGTCTGCCAATCCCTCCCCCAGCGACGACTTTCACACCGGACACCCCCCAGACTCCGCCTGCCCTCCTCCCGACGACGTCCTCTATTTCGTCGGTTGAGCACCCCACGGCCACATGTTCCACTACCCTCCTCCCCAACCCCTCCACCATCTTTTTCTCCGATCTCGTTGAGGAACAAAACCGACACGCTCGGCTTGTTAGATTAGGCCTCGAGCAGCGCCGCCTCAATGCCATGATCTCCTCCGTTTGTGTCGGAACCGCCCAGTTCCAGCTCAAGTTCGTCGCCGTCTCCTTTGGAGCATCGACGGTGAAGTTCCGGGACCTTCTCGACATTGGTGCCACCGGCAACTTCATCACGGATGCCTGTGTCCGCAAAGCCGGCCTCCCTTCCACCGGCTATGATTCCTCGATCACCATTTGCCTAGGGGATAAGACTCAGCCATTGTCGTCGACCTCACAGTCCCCGAGACCACAATGACTGTCGGCCCTCTTCGCAGTCAGGTCTCCTTTGATGTCATGCACCTCATGTGCGACATCGTACTCGGGACTCCTTGGCTCRACCGCTACATGCCCTATACCTTCCACCCCTCTTTCGTCCGCCTCTCCACCCCTCCCGATCCACCCCTTGACATCCCCTACCTTCTCCCTTCCTCCACCCTTTCCCCCGTCTCTCCTCACCAAATTCTTCACATGACCCGTGAGCACCCCGACTCCTCTTACTGCCTTGTCATTGACCGCGACCGTCCCGAGGACTTGCTTCCAACGGACAAACCCGACCAAGACCCCTCCCTCCGACCCTCAGATCTTCGCCCTCCTATCCGAATTCAAAGACGTGTTTCCCGAATCCTTGCCCACTAGACTACCTCCCGACCGAGGTGTTTCCCACACCATCGATCTCGAGCCCGGCCACTCCCCCCCTTGCCGCCCCCCATACCAGCTCTCCGTCCCCGAGGCCGAAGAAATGAAGCGCCAGCTCAATGAACTCCTTGAAAAAGGATTCATTAAGCCTAGCTCCTCCCCCTTCGGAACCCGCTGTCTACTCGTCAAGAAGAACGACACCTCGGAACTCCTCATGTGCACAGACTACCGCGCCTTGAACTGGATCATGATCAAGAACAAGTATCCGCTTCCCCGGATATCCGAACGTCTTGATCGCCTCCGTGGAGCCAAATACTTCACCAAGATTGATCTCCTCAATGGCTTCCACCAGATCCGCATCCGCGAGGAGGACACCCACAAGACCGCCTTCCGCTCCCGCTTCGGGCACTACGAGTTTCTCGTAATGCCTTTCGGTCTCACCAACGCCCCCGCCACATTCCAATCCACCATGAACCACATCTTCCGCGACCTCCTCAAAGTCTGTGTCGTGATCTACCTCGACGACATCCTTGTTTTTATCCCCACCTTCGAGTCCCACCTTGATCATCTCCGCCAAGTTCTCCCCATCCTCCACGACCAGAAATTCTACGCCAAGCTCAGCAAATGCACATTTGCTGCCTCTAGCGTAGAATACCTTGGTCACATTGTCTCCACCGACGGCATCCGCATGGACCCCAAAAAGGTATCTGCCCTCGTCGAGTTCCCCCCTCCCATCACTTTAACCCAACTTCGCTCCTTCACGGGACTCGCCAACTACTACCGCCCCTTCATCCGCAACTTCTTCGACGTTTCCTACCCTCTCCATGAGCTCACCCGTGCCACCAAACCCTTCACTTGGACAGACCGCCGCCAAACCGCCTTTGACAAACTCAAGAAGCTCATCACCACTGCCCCCGTCCTCAAAATCGCCGACCCCACTCGCCACTTCTTCGTCACCACGGATGCCTCCGACTTTGCCATAGGGGCCGTCTTATCCCAACACTTTCCCCCCGACCCCGCGGAAACCCCCTCCATCAAGGACTCCCCCACTCACTCCCAATGCCCACCCGACGAGCACCCCATCGCATTCGCCAACAAGAAACTCCTTCCCGCAGAAATGAACTACCCATCCAACGAGAAGGAGCTCCTCGCTGTGGTTTACGCCCTCAAAGTCTGGCGCCCGTACCTCGAAGGGCAATACTTCACCTTTCGTACCGATAACTCCGTCGTATCCTCCATCTTGACCAAGAAAGACATCACCCCTCGCCAAGCCCGCTGGCTAGACTTCCTTGCCCAATTTACGTTTACCATTTATCACACCCCTGGCAAGAGCAACCGTGTTGCCGATGCCCTCTCCCGCCGCCCCAATCACAAACCCCCCGAGAAAGTCTATGCCGCCATGACCCACATCCAGCTCCTGCCATCGCTCCGCCATCGCTACACCCAAGGATACCTCTCTTGCCCCGACTTCTCCACCATCTACAACAAACTTCGCGACCTCGACCCCGACCTCGACTACTCCCTACATGACAACCTCCTTTACATCAATCAAAGAATACAAAGTCGAGTGGACAGGCTACCCGGATGAAGAATCAACATGGGAGCCCCTTGAAAATCTCAAGAATGCCATGAGACTTGTCCGTGCCTATGATCGTTCCCACCCTCCGTCCTAGCTATCCCCCTGCCAATACCTTGGCTAAAACCCTGAACCCTTGCTTTAACCCTACTACAACCTTGCCACCTTGTTCCACACACACCCCTGCCACAACCACCCTTGCCCTTGACCCCGATTCCTGATGTCTGATCTGCCCTTGTCCCTTGCCTAGCCCTGCCCCATTCGCCCTCCCCACTTCCTTGTCCATCTTGACCAATGCTTGTGGACCTGCATGACGCCGGCGATAAAGGATCTAATGGCATGCGCACAAGGACGATGGCTTGCTGCACCACTGTTCATGAAGATTATGCAGTTGGATTGGCCACCATGCTGCTACACCTGGCCGGCACCCTGCCTCGCAGACTCCCTGGAGCAGCTACTTGTGACATGAACCATGTACCAGTCTGCGACTTCCTTGCTACCGGATCCGACTCCACTGCAGATCATGTACCGGACGTGCCCACAGCCATCGAACATGGACCTCTTGACTTTCCACGCATCAACACTCGGCATCTTGTTCCTCCTTGACGAAGACCATTGAAGACCCCCCTTGCCGCTGACCAAGACCTTTGCAGTTCGCCTTGCTTCCATCATCAACCTGACCAAGACCTCCTTGAAGACCCCTATCGCTGCCGCTGACCTGGGACTGCTCAAGACTTTCGAAGACCCCTTCTTGCTGCCGATCAAGACACTTGAAGACCTCCCCCAGACCCCGTGACCCATTGCAGACCTCCGACTCTGTACCCACATCCCATCAAACATCCCAGCCCTTGTACATGCAAACTGTGCCCTTGAACCTTGCAACAAACAATTTTATTTTTTTCATCCCCTGACAACCTATAACCTTGTAGAATTTCCACTACAATACCCGTTCACCCTTGTAGATCATCAATAGGAAACCCTGTTACCTGCTCTCCCTTGTAGATCATCAATAGGAAACCCTGTTACCTGCTCTCCCTTGTAGATCATCAATAAGAAACCCTGTCACCTGCTCTCCCTTGTAGATCATCAATAGGCAACCATGTTACCTCCTCACCCTTGTCAACCATCTATAGGACTACCCTGTTCCCCCTGCAGCACCCCTAGCTCATCAGTAGGATAACCCTGTGCTCATTCCCCCGACTAGACACCCTGACCCTGTGACACCTACAGTATGCCCCTCTTTCCCTTTTCACCTTGATGACCAGTGCTCGGCCCCGTCCCGTCCTTCGCAACTTTTTGCATTGTTCCATGACTATTGGCAGCCGGGACGTTGCCTCTTAGAGGGAGGGGATAGTGTTACGGACTCCGCCAGGGCTCGATCCCTGGTCTATCTTTTTGCTGTTTCGGCTGCATCCCGTTTTCAGTCTGGCATCCTTTTTCCAAACCCCTCCTTTGGTACCGTAGGATTTTGGACAACTGGCGCCATGCTGCAATTCGGGCGCCACTTTCAAATTCCACATTTTTCAGTTTTGCCCTTGGGGCTTTGCAGATTTGGCCCCGGTACTGTACCGGGCACCCGATACTTATACCGGTGCCCCGTACAGTACGCGGACCAGTCTCGTACCAGTTTTGAGCTGTTGTTCTCGTACTCATTGGAACTTGCTCCTGTTCGGCATTCAGAATCCAAGACTTCGACTTTGTGTCCTTGCCACTGTGTCTGTGTCCGACCCTCAGTCGTGTCAGGTGAGTGAGTGTGTGTGTGTGCTCTCACTCTCTCTCTCTCCCTCTCCTCTCCCTCGGCTCTCCCTGTCTCCCTCAGCCTCGCGCTCGTTACAACACTAGTGTAGAGGATGCTAATTGGGTTAGGAGGAGTATGTGAGCAGGGGGTGAGTTCTTTCATCTCAAGAGCCCGGCCACTCAGGTAAGAGTCGTGCTGTCAAGGTGCCCATGTGTGTGTGCATGGAGTTGACTGCCTGCTGGGGTATTTTGGGTTCTTCTTCCATCCTCCATAGTCTTGATCTTGCGTGAAGTGCGTGAACTGCTAACTAGATGAGTGAATGGATGGAGTATCTTGTGTGCCATGCTATATCTTTCTACAGTGCTTTATCTATTTCATTCTGAATGGTTGTATAGTCCGTAGGTTCTTTCTGGGGCACATTTTCATTTTTCAATTCAGTAGGGACAGAGTAGGTCTTTGTGGAACTCTTGTTGGTTGGGACCCGGTTCTGACTCCACTGGGACCGTTTGGGACTCAGTGGGACCAGGCCCAAACAAGAAGGGCCCCTCAGGCCAAATCTGTTGACGTCAGTTACCTTGCTCTATCTGATTGGTACTCAGACTTTATGCTTTCGGACCAGGACACTCGCTGCGGAGGGGATCTCCGCTGAGACGTTTTATCGGACTTTACCGCACGATCCGCCGTCTGACTCGCACCTTGAGCAACACTCGTTTCTTTCTTGCATTACGTAGTACACTTTGAATCTGATTTGCTGTGTCTTCACGGAGCCGAGTCCGGCCAGGCTTGAGAGGACCTCATACATAGTCGATCCAGACTGTGTGGCTGGATCAGATCTCTCTGATCTTTATTTCTTTTGTTTTTTTTTTGACTGCTCTCCAGTCCAAATGAATTGTCACTCCGGCTAGGAGTTCTACCTTCTCTTCTGATTGATTTCAAGTTGTTTCTTTCATAGGGTTCGTTAAATGTCTGCGTCTACACGATCGCAAACGAGAGAGAGAGAGAGAGAGAAGAGAGAAGCTTCTGAGTGTTGCTCTTGAGGGAGTGAGGAGAGGGAAGAGGAGTGTTCGTCCCAGAAGTGTGAGGAAGTACGGACCCCTCTTGAGAGACTTATTGACACCATCATCCTCCGTCATGGCATCTGCAGCAGACTGGAAGCTGCAAATGGACGCTGCCCCTGAGGCAGAAAAAGCGCAGTACCTGTTCTTTTATGAAAAAGCATTGAAGAGGGAAGAGGAAGAGAAGGAGAAGGAGAGGGAGGATAAGGTAAAGGCTCATGAAGCCGTTTTCTGTACCGTGCCTGCCCTAACTGATGAGGAAGTGGGAGAGAAAACCGTTTCACTTCCCCGGGCTTTAATAGACGTCCAGGCTGTTGAGGACCATACTGGCCAACTCGCCAAAGTGTTCGACGAACTCAAGAAGTTGCGTGAGGACACGGCCCTGATGGCGTAGCAGCACCGTGACCAGCTGCAACAGTTCGCTAACGTGCAACCAACCCAAAGTATCCTTCCGCCTGCTTACCCTGCTTCTAGTGCTCCGTGTCAGTCCGTTCTTGCCCCTCTAACAGTGTCTTCTTTTTCTTCTTCCTCTTCTTTGAGTGTCGCCAACAGCCTAACCGGATCTGTTGCAGGTCCAGACTGCGTTGTTGCTGCTGCTGCTGTTGCAGCGACAGGAGGCAGTGCAGGGCATTCTGGAACTATTGCAGCCCCAAATCCGGACCCAGCAATCGCTGGTCCCAGTTGCAGTTTTCCTTGCACGGATAGAAAGGCGGCACAAATTTCGTCTAAATACGACGAAAAGGACGACATTGAATCCTAGATCAGCTCTATGCGATCCTACTTTGATGTGCTGGGGACACTCCCAGTTACTCAGTCGTCGCTCCTAGGGACCAACGTGGAACCTGCCGTAAGGGGTTTCTTAGAAATCCAAGTTCTGCAAGCAGGCTATAAAAGAATAGACCTGGAACTCTTGATCAAACAGTATGCTGATCCACATGTTGCAGCCAAAGCTAGACTTAAGCTTGACAAGCTCAAGCACAGCAAGTGGACCGGCACCATGCATAGTCTGCAGCAGTATGCCAGTAAACTTTTCGCTACTCCTGATTTGGAGATGATTGCGCAGTCTTGCTTGGATGTGATTAAAGGTACGGTCCCCTCTACTATAACACATCGCCTGGGGCCCAGACTCATAGCGTACACAGATTGGCCTACCCTCATGCGGGACTTAGTCAAGCTGGAGGCACAAGACCTCCTAGGTGGATCGGGTGGCAGAAAGGCCACCGGCCGCAAACGGTTCCCAGACAGCAACCGTTTTTCAGCGCACGATCTACTTTAGGATGACGAGGAGACCTTCGCAGAGGATCCTTCTCTTGATGACGATCAAGAGCAAGGCTACGAGGCATCTCGCTCTTCGTCAACTCATGAGTCTGAGTATGTAAATGACGAAGAATCCATGACCGCCTTCAAGAAGACTGCCTTCAAAAGTAAGGGACCCAGGACCACAACAAAGAACAACACTAACACCATTCTTCTTCTCAAGGGAGCGAAGATTCCGCCCAGACCGGAAGATCCTGCCACAAAACCATGGGTAGATCTCCGAATAAGTGAAAGTGAGTGGAAACACAGAGTGAAGAAAGGGGTTTGCCTGCATTGCACCAAACCGGGATGCTCAGTCGAACATTATTTCAGATTGCAGCAGGGAAACCAGCAACGGGGGAAGAGACATCATCAACACACTCTACAGACGGAGAGGCTGAACATGTAAGTGCAGTTCCTTCATTGGATTCTGATCCCACTCAGCAAACCTCTCCTGAGACCCCATCTGATGCTGATTCCAAGGCTGAGAAAATACACATCCTATACAAGGAGCCTTGGGTGGAGTCAGAAGAAATCGACTTTCATGCTCTCTTGTCGCACAGGGCTCACATGAAGCAAGAACGCGCGCAAGGGAAAACGAAGTTGATCTTCTTCAAACTCCGCATTAACGATCGTTACATCCGTGTGTTGGTTGATTGTGGCGCAACCGCTAACTACTTCTCACCGCACAGCATTCGTAAGGCACGCTTGGGAATGAAGCAAGTGACTTTGCAGAATCCTTGTCGGACCCAAGTGGGCAACCAGAGGTTGTCACATCTACGCATGCAGTCAAAGGTGTGCACACTACCTTTGGGAATCGAGCGTCCAGTCCTCGTGGATGAGCCGCATGAGTCCCAAGTAAATTTTCTCAATGCAATGCAATTCTGCAAAAAGTGGCGCAGGCGCAAGTTGATGAGCAAATGTACATAGTCTTTGTTAGGCCTACTCATGTGCCTTCTACTTTTGCTGTACATAATGATTCAACTTTGCATGTCGTTTCTACCTCTAATGCAACTACATCTACCTCTACTAATTCTAATCCAAGCGACTCTGCTTCAAATCCTGTTGTTTTGGCTGCACCGATGCAATCCAGGATACTTGCACCTGAATGTGATGATCCACCTCCGGAGATCCCATCAGAAATTCGCAACCTTCTCAACCGATTTCCTGAAGCCTTGGCCGAACCACATGGAGTTCCCGTGCGTCCGGACCGACACAAGATCGAGTTGATAGAAGGTAGCACTCCTCCAAAAGGTTGTGTCTATCGAATGGGCTCAGGCGAATTGGAAGAGTTGCGAAGACAAATTGATGACATGATTGAGAAAGGATGGATCAAGCCAAGCGCATCCGAATTCGGTGCACCGATTCTGTTTGTCCCTAAGAAAGGAGGCAAACTACGGATGTGTATCGATTACCGTGGACTGAATAGAATAACAAGAAAGAATGCATATCCTTCGCCGCGTATTGATGATCTGCTTGATGTTGCAGGTGGGTGCAAGGTCTTCAGCAAGATCGATCTCAAGTCTGGCTACCACCATATTGAAGTCGACCCTGCAGACCAGCACAAAAACTGCATTTAAAACTCGCGACAGGTTGTACGAGTTTACCGTCATGCCCTTCGGTCTCACGAATGCACCGACCACCTTTCAAAGTCTCATGGACAAGGTGTTCCGCAATCAGATCAATCGATTTGTTGTTGTTTATCTGGACGATATACTAATTTTCAGTAATCGATGGAGGAGCACATGAGACACCTTGAGGAAGTGTTACAGATCTTTAAGGATGCGCAACTCCATCTCAACTTGGAGAAATCTGAGTTTGGGAGGGACAGCGTCATCTACCTTGGACATCGGTTGTCTACTGCAGGCCTAGAGCCCGACGCAACCAAAGTTGAGGTCATCCGCAACTGGCCTCAACCGGCCAATGTCCGCAAGTTGCATTCTTCTCTTGATCTTGCGCCATACTACCGTAAGTTTGTACCCAAATTCTCTATTATCGCCCGTCCGCTGTCCAAGTTGACAAGTAAGAATGTGTCTTACACATGGGATGGGGAATGCACAACAGCCTTCCAAGCGTTGAAGGAGGCTTTGCTAAGTCATTTGGTGCTCCGCATTGCAGATCCCAAACTTACATTCGTAGTAACTACGGATGCAAGCTTGTATGGGATTGGTGCAATGCTGCAGCAAGATGACGGCGATGGCTTACGTCCGCTTGAATATTACAGCAAACTCATGCCCAGTCACAAGGTAGTTGCCTCCACTTATATGCGAGAACTCTATGCCTTGAGAGAGGCACTAGATAATTGGAAACACTACCTCTTGGGTCGTCATTTCAAAGTGTTCTCAGATCACGAGACTTTGAAATGGATTCAGACACAGATTAATCCATCAACCACATTGACCCTCTGGCTGCATGAGATTGATGTGTATGATTTTGAACTTAAGTACAAGAAAGGTTGTTACAATCACGTTGCGGATGCTTTGTCTCGCCATCTTGAGTACATGAATTGCCTTGTGGGTTCCTATGATCTCCGTAAGAATTTGAAGGAGGAAATCATTGAGCACACTGCCCAGGACTCGGAACTCAGTCCCATCCTTGAGCAGATTCGGGCTGACCCTAGCAGTCAACCTGATTTCCATGAATGTAAGGGCTTACTTTTCCAACGGTACGGAAAGCACGACCGACTGTGTGTACCCAACCATGAGCCGATCCTTACGCACTTCTTGGACTTGGCTCATGGCCGGAGTGGACACTTCGGTTTTGAAAAAGCATACGGAAGTCTGCTGCAAAAGTTTGTATGGCCTGGAATGAAAGGAATGGCACGAAAGTTTGTGGCTGAGTGTGAAGTCTTTCAACACATCAAACCGTCTCGGCAAAAGCGCTATGGGCTGCTGCATCCTCTTCCTATTCCAGATGGCCCGGGTGAGTCTCTTTCCATCGACTTCACGGACATGGGGAAGAAGAGTAGGAATGGATATTCGCAAGTAATGGTGATCGTTGACCGCTTTTCAAAACTTCTGAATCTGATTCCATTACTGCAAGAAAGATGAGGTATAGCGAACTTCAGCAATCAAACAACATCATATACACAAGACCAGATAGTCGTGACCTCGAACCAACAACAAAATTGCATCACGAGTTTCACCAAATAAGAAGATACCAAAAGCTCATAATTGACAATGCTTGTAAAGTCTCATCATCATCATCAATGAAGAACCAATGTTGATATCCTATCTGGCACTCGACACCCAGACTACAAATGGCAGATCCTATCTAGCCTAGACTACAACGCCGAATAATGACGCCAACAACTTTCCCGAAGTACGAGCATACAGCGACCAATGTCGCACGCTTCCAACACCAAGTCTGTCTCTCGCCTCACTCACAACCTTGTTCCCCAACACACAAATGCCACTAGCACCCAAGGACCACCCTACGCCACACCCAGCTTACAGCAGCGCAACTCGACTATGGCTGCCTGCTCCTTCCTGCTACCCCGTGAGTGCGTGAGTGCCAGCGAGCTTCAGCGCAGCATGCAGCCAGCACCCGAATGACGAATGCGGAGGCAGGCCGTTTGCTATATCGAAGTGGCCTGCCTGCGCCTTGTCCCAGGAAACTTCCAGTAGGCCCCGGTACCCTTAGGCCCAGCACGATTGAGAACAGACCTTGCGCCTGAGGTGGTTGCATGCACCCAACTGCCTTTGGCATGTGTTTGGCCCAGTACCCGTATCCAGCCCAGGGCCTGCTTTCCACACATTCACACAGGCGGCCCAGGGCCTGGGTTCTCTCAACCAAATGGCGCTGCGCAACTGCCTGAATTTCCTTAGTTGCGCAGTGGCCAAAATAGGGCCTTGAGGGCCTCGTCGAACCTGCCTTCACTTAGGGCGGCCGACTTGCTCCAAAAAGGAGCCGAATGGGGCTCATAGAGGCAGTGGCCTCCCATTCCCTCCTCCTTAGCTTCAACAGTCCTCTGAGAAGCTCAGTCTTCAACCATAGGGCGCTTTCCCTTTTGCAGAGATCTCTCGTAGTGGGCTACAACTTGCGGAGCGGTCTGCATGAGTTCCTCCCTGGTGAACCAGCGGTCCTCCTTCGGATCAGTGTGATGCCGGAACCGAACACGATACTGCAGCTTCGGTTTCGGAGAACGTCCACTGCCTGTTGGTCTTGGCGCTGGCAGCGCCCTGTGGTCCACGATATCATCGATATCCACCTCTCCGTCCATGGTTGGGGGCAGCATTGAGCGGCGAGAGGGAAACTGATCTGTTTCTTCAAAAGGTGCAAGTTTGGAGGCGTGAAAGACGGGGTAAGTACGAAGATGACCAGGGATCCGGACGTAAAAAGGTCCATCCGGATCAGTCCCAACAATATCTAAGACTTCCCATGGTCCGAAGTACTGTGGCATGAGCTTGCGGGAGATCTCGTGCTTCTGTCCCAGTTCTGAGGACTTAACCAGACTCTGTCCCCAACCTGACATGAAGACTCGCGACGGTGTTTGTTCGCTGATTCTATCATAGCTGCCTGTGCCTTCTGCATCTGTTCTACAGCCTGCTGCATCTTCTGTTCGTACCAATAAGCAAATTCTAAGGTACCCGGAGCAGCAGTTGCCTGGTTCTCAGGAAGAAGGAAATCCAAGGGTACTCTAGGCTTAAAAGTCAGTAGTAAGTTGTTTGGGCTCAAAAGTCAGTAGTAAGCTGTTTGGGCTCACCCCGGTAGCGCTGTGTACCGCATTGTTGTACAGGCTGGCGATGAGAGCAAGCTTCTTATCCCAGTCCACCGGGTTGGGCTTGATGTAATGCCTCAACAGGTGTTGAACAACGCGGTTCAGTTGCTCGGCTTGGCCATTGGCCTCTGGGTGGTTCCCAGAAGTCATTTGCAACTGTGTTCCCTATTCCACAGCGGCGGCCTTCCACAACTCGCTGGTAAATCGGACATCCCTGTCACTGATAATGGACTTCGGTAAACCAAAATCCCTGACCCAGTTCTCTTTGAACATTCTGATCACATACTCCGTCCTTGCTGTTTCCGGCATTGCTACTAACCTAGCATACTTACTAAATATATCCACGATAACGAAGATGTATCTCATCCCACTCTTGCTGGTGACCAGTGTATCCATGAAGTCCATGGACAAGCTCTCACCAGGCCTTTCCGGAATTGGAAGGGGCTTCAGGAGCCCAAGAGGAGCCTGCGTACGTGGCTTGTCCCTCTGACAGACTTGACAAGTCTCCACGTACAGCTGGGCATCTCGCATCATCGTGGGCCACAAGAACTGCTGCAGCAGATTAGCTACGGTCTTTTTGTACCCAAAATGGCTGGTGGCATCATGACATTCGCCTAAAAATAAACTCCTCAAAGACTCCATATTAGGAACACACAAACGTTTATTCCCAGCCTTCTCGAGGAACAGCAAGTCGTTGACCAACTCAAACTTGGCAGAAGTCACTTTGTCCTTCGCTTCGAGTCTACGGATGATCTCAGACATGAACGGATCCTCACGATAGGCTTCCACCAGGGACTGAGTAACATTGTCCGCAAGATCGAACTCAGTAATCAGCGCACCTGAGAAATCAGGTTTACGCGACAAGGCATCAACAACCTTGTTGTACTCCCTTTTCAGATACTGCGGGTCAAAGTCGTACTGCTCAATGACTTCGATCCAACGCTTGAGAGCGTTAGAGAGTACAAGCTGAGTTCTCATCCATCTCAGGGTCTGATGATCACTCTTGAGGATGAAGAACCTCCCAAGGAGATAGTGCCTCCAATGGGTCAGAGCCTTGTAAACCGCATACAGTTCCTTTTAAGTGGACTTAGCCAACTTCTGAGACGACATTTTCTTGGACATGTACTTAACAGGCCTCAACTTTGGCCCCTCCTGCAGCGCAAGCACGGCGCCAATGCCATATTGGCTGGCATCCATGGTGACTATAAACGGCTTATCAGGATCGGGAAGTTTCAAGACCTCGTAGTGCATCAACGCATGCTTCAAATGTTTGAAAGCAGCCTCACACTCATCTGTCACTCCCATGGGGTGTCAAGGCGGGTCAGATTAGTCAAAGGAGCGGCCACTAAGAAAGTCCTATAGTAGCCTGTCATCCCTAAGAAAGATCTCATCTCTGTCACAGACTAAGGACATGGCCAATCACGAATGCTGGCCACCTTCGTGTCATCGGGCTTCAACCCTTCCGTGGAGATCTCAAGACTCAAGTACAAGACACGGGTGTGGCCAAACTCGCACTTCTCACCGTTGATCTTGAACTTGTGCTGTCGCAGGAGACTGAGGACTTTGTCCAGAATTGCAACGTGCTCCTCGATAGTCTTACTAAAAATAAGTATGTCATCGAGGTACACGATGACAAACTTATCCAAGTACTCATGGAATATCTGATTCATAGCGTGCTGAAAGGTGGGCTTGGGTGGATACCCCCTTTCCCTTTTTTTGCCTTCTGTTTCATTTCTCTCTTTCTTTTCCTTGTCCTTCTGCTTGCCGATGATTAGCAACCGGACTGATGCCCCCCATAATAGATGGGGCGGTGTGTGTGTTTGGTTAAGAGGAGAAAGGTGCCAGGAGCATTGCAAAGGCCGAAAGGCATCACCACAAACTCGTACAGACCGTACCTAGTCTGAAAGGCGTTTTTGTGTTGATCCTCGGGCCGGATGGCAATCTGATGGTACCCGGACTTCAGATCTATCTTACTGAAGTGCCGACACCCTTGCACTCTATCTAGCAAATTGTCGATGCGCGGTAGGGGCTCTCTGTTCTTAACAGTGATGGCATTGAGGCCCCTATAGTCAATGCACATCCTAAGTGTTCCCTCCTTTTTCTTAGGTACGAATCGTACTGGAGACCCATAAGGAGAGACACTCGGCCGGATCCAACCCTTCTCTACGAGTTCCTTGAGTTGTCGGCGAAGCTCGTTGAGCTCGCATGGAGACATCCGATAGATCCTACCCTTCGGGATGCTAGACCCTGGGATAATCTCTATCGCGTGGACGACCTCCCTCTCAACAACCCCTGTTGGCTCTTCAAATAGATCAGGGTACTTGGCAACTACTCGCTCTATCTCCGGCGGCATTTTCACCGGTTCGCCTGCAGCATAGACGTAAACTAGATACATACCCTCCTCCTGATTTTGTTTATAGTAGTTATAGAACGCGGCCGCACACATGCATCCGTGAGACTCAATCAGACTACTAGCTTTGAACTTACGCAATCTGGCGGTCCCTCCTCCTGGCAAAGTGTGTTTGACCACTTCTTAGTCCCAGTCAAACTGGGGCTGTGCCACAGAGAGGTAGTACATACCTAACAACATATCCATGGGGAGTTCGTCACTCACTAGGAACGAGACGCGATGTCTCAATTCCCCTCCCGCGTACGGGAAACAACACTCAACATCTTGGAGGTAGTCGTTGACTACCATGCGCTGTTTGTTGGCACAGATCGACTCCACAGGTCGACTCAAGCATTGCACTCGCCCCTGTAAGCGCAGCCTCTCAACGCACGCGCGACTGATAAAGTTCCTAGTCGAGCAAGTGTCATAATAGGACCCGGCCTTGCGGCCGCCAATGACCACCTCGCTGACGAACATCTCACCCTTCGCGGCTTTGACTAGGGCCGTCCAAGAAGCTAGCGGGTCTGATTTAAACCACTCCTCCTCTAGCTCCTCTAAGGACTCGAACACATTCATCGAACAGAGGCTCGATGTGTCTGAACGTGTTCGCGGGACGACGCTGGAGTCAGTAGCTTGGGCCATCTCTCGAGATGGTGAGGGTGTGTATCCACCACCTCGACGCTAGCAAAACAACTACTATTCCTACTGGCCCGACGTGTTTCCCGGAGCAGTGCCAGATGTACTAGTTACATTGCTACCAACAGGATGGGAGGATCCCAACGCCTGCCCCATCGTAGGCGGGATCTTATCGGTCACCTTCTTGTTGCGGCACTTGAATTGGTTATGGCCATATTGACCACAACGAATACAGGCCTGCCGTGTATACCGATCTCTCCACACATCCTCTGTGAGACCCGCCTTCTCCCATGGGGGAGCGTTGGGGTCAACTTGACTCCTTGACCGGGTTACCTTTCTGAGTTACGACAACGACTACTCCACCCTCTGAAGCTTCTGTACTGCCAGCCTCTGAACCTACTCCTTCCTGGAAGTTGTCGTCTAACTCGATGGTTGAACCATTGTTATCGACAAACATAATGCGGCCCTTCGCCTTCCAGTTGGGAGACAGTGTCTTCTTCCTACCGTCCGTTGTGGGATTATGTCCATGCCCTATCTTCGCCTCAAGGTCTAGGGCCTTCTTGCTGAACGAGGGAAAGTTGTGAACATTGATGTTGGCCTCACCTGCCAACTGATTCTTGAGAGGCATAGGAAAGCATCTCAGGTAGGAGGTGAGTAAAACCTGGGGGTCATAGCGCACCCCAGGGACACAGATCAGACGCTCTACAGCGTCAGTGGCTTCCCTCACTGACTTGAACTACCTACTGTGCAGTGTCAGGATCGCATCAGTGGCCTTTTGGGCCTCCTGAGGATCATGCCACCTTTATTCCACCAACTTGAGGAAGTCATTCAATTGCTGGTTGACCGCCCAACCGCGAAAGTCATGACCGTATCCCTGTAGCTGAACCAAACCACTCGTCCATCTTGCTGCACTACCCTCTACGTAAGATGCAGCCAAAAGTACTTCCTCGTGCGGCAAGGTGAGTTTACACTTGACATAGACCGACACTGCCCTCAACCAAGTGTCGAGGTCTTCGCCTCTCTTATCCCCTGTGAAGGGTTTAGGAGCGGCGATGGCCGTCTTTGGTACCCACTGTGTTTGTCCCGGTCCCTGCACCACTCCGGGTTGTGGACCCTGTGGCACAGGCTGTTGTGCTAGCTGCTGAGGCTGTGTACCCTGCGACTGTACAGGCTGCGAGACAGCAGGTTGCGTAATAACCGCAACCTGCAACGGAGATTGAGTAAACACTGTCTGTACAGGAACCTGCAAACTAGATCCTGTTGTTAACCCTCTTGATAGCGGCATGCCCAAGGAAACGATCGTGACCGATGATGGGGCTACATATGGGGATACCCCAACCACTGGTGGGACAAAAGGAGGCTGTACAACGGGCCAAGCACCAGGCCCGGACATCGATGGCACTGCCTGCGCTCGCCCAGCCAACAAGGCCAGACTTTGCGGAATGTCCTGAAGGATGGTTGTCTGATGGTCCTGCATTTCAACTACATTCAGCAGGACGGACCGTATGGTCCTCACATCATCAGCGGACCGTATGGTCCTCACATCATCAGTCATGTGCGTCAGGTCCATCTCCTCTAACTCACTAACGTCCGCTTGCCTCCGCTGCATCCTGACTCTTCTTCTAACCATTCTTTCTTTCTCCGCTTTTATCTCTCCTAAGACCTTTTGTACTTGTGCCTCCTGCAATGCTGCTTGTATGGCGATCTCATCGGAAGTCAACACTACTGGCTGGCTTGCCATTACGCCAGTGGACTGACTCAGGGTCTGCGCGACCGTTGACCCTACAGATCCTGAACTACTAGCCTGGGAACTCTACTGCGTAGAAGTGGCCATGGTTGCTGAAGCTGCGGCTTCACTTACGAATGTCCTGCTTGCCTCTTCAGCCTTGGCTCTCCTCTGCTGCTGCTGCCTCTCCCTACGCTAGCGGAACAGATGTCTGTCACCCTTTGGACCTAATGCCAAATGGGCAACTGGGCGCCTTGCCGATTGCAAGATCCGGTCGTCCTCTCTAGTGTCCTCCTCGTCGCTCGTAAGCTACAGCACTGTACACAATCTGCACTAATGCACTCTAGGTGCCTACCGCAGTGTAGTGCACAGACCAATTTAAAATAAATAAATAATTAATTGGTGGCTATTTCGGAGTAGATACATTTAGCATCAACAGGTAAGTTCAAATTCCTACAAACAAAACTATACTTAGCCTGATTAGTCCGCAAACAGAATGCACAATGAACAGTTACAGTTATGATTATGCTGTCTGTCAGATGTCAAATGGTTGTACACCTAACTAATCAAACATAAAAATATAATCATTTGTGTGGATAGGACAGTATGGAATTTTTTTGTCAGACTTATCACCTGAAATCTACCCCTCCCTTAGTTCCCCTGAATGTCACTTGACGTCGGCGTCCCTGAGCAATCCGAAGAGCGTTGCGTGTCTAAAAGGTGTGTGTTCGGCCCACCCATGTGCCCCGAGTGTCTGCTGAGCTCGCCAGCCCTGCACTGGATTATCCTCGCGTGCAGCGAGCCTTACAACCATTGGCTGATCCAGAGGCAATTCAACGACCGCCCCCAAGTGTCTCCAGGAATTATTTTACGTCGCAGCCGGACGACGATCACAGCCAACGGTTTCCCCTTCCGATACTTATTTAAAGACGTCCGGTCTCGTCCCCCACTTAGGGCTGGCCTGCACTTCAGCACCCATCTAACAGCGCAGCAAGCCGAACAAAGGACAAGCAGCAAAGCATGCGTGCTCTACTCCCGGTGGGTTGGCATGGTGACCGTGACCCAGTGCTTCGTCCAGGGCCCTTCAGAAAGCTCCGCCCATCTTCTCCCAGATGCTCCACGTGAACATTGCCGACTCTCAAGGTTGAGCGCACTTGACACCTCATAATGAGAGGACTCTCAAGAAGGAACACACAACCTCACGGTAAGAAGTGTCGAAGAGGGTAGATAAGGTTAAGAGCAACGTACCTCAAATAGCTGCCCCCAACCACAGAGATAATCTCACCAGATAACCTGATGTCGATTGTGATGACCAGTCATTGCTTCGGCACAACCAGCATTGCACGTCGTTCCACCTCAGCACCAATCACACATTAGATAGTTCTCATCACACTGTCCAGACCCACATTACACCACGTAGCCTTCCTGGCGATCCCCTCACCTCCTGGGTCGCCACTCACTCGTCTCCGCCCTCCTCACTACACACCCCCTACGGCCTCACTCACCAAGCAGACCGCATGTATGTACCGCATTAGGCAGAAGAAAAGCGCCAGATGAGCGCAATCGTATCACAGCTCCAATACCAAATTGCAAGAAAGATGAGCTATACCAAACTTCAGCAATCAAACAGCATCATATACACAAGACCAGATAGTAGTGACCTCGAACCAACAGCAGAATTGCATCACGAGTTTCACCAAATAAGAAGACACCAAGAGCTCATAATTGACAATGCTTATAAAGTCTCATTATCATCATCAATGAAGAACCAATGTTGATATCCTATCTGGCGCCCGACGCCCAGACTACAGATGGCAGATCCTATCTAGCCTAGACTACAATGCCGAATGATGACGACAACAGCTTTCCCGAAGTACGAGCATACAGCGACCAATGTCGCACGCTTCCAGCACCAGGTATGTCTCTCGCTTCACTCACAACCTCGTTCCCCAACACACAGATGCCACATCATTCTCACCACAAGGTGTGAAGAGGCCTGGTGCTATGCACAGGAAGAGGCGCCAGGTCCAGCCATGCACAGATGAAGAGGAGGGGATCGGACGAAGAGGAGGGGAGAGATGGGAAAGTCGTCAACACCAAGTCTCGTTACAAGTCCCAAATAATCCCTCGTCAAAATGTCTGAAGTCCAATGTCGAGTCTTGATCCAAATGTCACCAAGCTCTCTCTCTCTCTCTCTGCAGTGAAGTCAGATGTCGAGAGGGTGAGAGGGAGATGGTGGACTGAGAAGAGGAAGAAGAAGAACTCTCTCTCTCATATGCCAGGTACTAACCTGTGAAGGTGGCGCTGTGCTGCAGGTACCTTGAAGACGAAGCTGGAGCGATGCCGCTGCAGGTAAGTCCCTCTGGCCTCCGCCCAATCTCTCTCCCTATAGTACTACTCTAGCTATGGGGCCCAGCGCTGAAGACTACAGCTAACGCTACTAGCGCCCAGCGCTGAAGACTACTGCTAACGCTACTACTACTACTCCTGCAGCGCTCCTCCAGAGTGCTGCTGCCGAATCCTGAAGACTACCTCCGGCCTCCTGAAGTGCACATGAAGTGCCTGGGAGGTACCTAGGAACTACCTGCCGGCCTGCAGGGCGGGCCAGTCCTATATAGTGCTGGCCCGTCCAGGAGGCTGCTCTTGCCAATGCCTCAACGTGCCAGACACTGGGGTTGAAGCTCAAACAAAGGTTGTCTTGAAAATAGGCCAGAAATGGCCTGAGTTAAAACCCTGGTCTGGTGCCTGAGTTTCGGGCAGGCCGAACTCATGAGGGCCCGAAAATGGCCCTCAGTTTCAGGCTGAAAACACTCGGGGCCTATTTAGCCTGAAACGACACAGGGCCTGTAGGCCTTTGTTTTGCAATCAGACTCGCTTTCAAACACACTTTTCACACATGTAAACAGTACGCAGCACACTGGCGACATGCGCCCACTCAATACTCAGAGATATGGCTTCAGATACGAGTTCACTCTCAAATGGCTATGGCGACTTCAGCGCCCAAACATCTCACTGATCACATACACTGGATCACCCTGGATATCCCACACGCATCACTCTAACACTCGAACACAACACACACTCACTACTAACTACAGCTATGGCAGCTAT